ACTTATTTGTTCCAAAAAATTGTCCAATGAGTTATTTAACATGTTTTAGAATGTCCAATAACTTATTTGTTCCAAAAAATTGTCTAAGAACTTAATCATTCTAAACACTAAAGTCCATTAGGTTTTTTTAGACTTTTCTCACCTTAATTAATTAACGGACCGAGTAATTCTTTGATGGACTAACAATATCTTGGCCTTTGACTTTTTAGAAGGTCAAAAGTTCATACCTCACAGGAAAATGAGAGTAATTTTTTAAAGAAGAAAAAGAAAGAAATGAAAAATATTAAAATTACAAACCTACTCAATCTTTATTATAAAGAATATAATTTTAAAGGGCATATTAGTAAATCGACATATTTTCCTTCTTTTCTCTTCTCTTCAAGGACACGAGAAATTATTTTCTATCTTTTTTTTCTTTTTTTTTTTAAGAACATAAATAAAAAATTATATGTAAGAGTTAGTTTCTTGTTACCATGATCAATTGAAATATTCTTCTAAGCTAATTCATAGGTTTATACAAAATAATTAAGTGATCAAAATAATTGAGAATCTCTTATGATATAATACAAAATGAAATATAATTGTTAGATAATTGTTTACAATGAGAAAAGTACATTGAATAGTTAAGGAAGGCCCGAGATGCAAATCATTCAAAAGATTTTAAAACCATTAAGAAACAAAAAAAATTTACCAAACAAGATTCACCTCTTAACAATTTAACGGTTGTCTCTTAATAAAACTATTAAGAGGTAAACAAACAACCCATTCAGTTTAACCCAGAAGAAAAAAAAACCGAAACCGTTTAACCAAAATCATCTTTAGCTCGGAGTTATTTAGTTTCGGTTATTTTTGACACCTCTACGATCCACAAAATCCAACTGTAAAACCCATGAAGCAAAAAAACAGTTCTCAACAATCCATTAAAATAAAGCACCAAAATAAGCCTCTGCAAATATATCTATCTACCAATACCATCGATGGATAAGTAGACAAATTATAGGTCTCCTTTAAAACTGTTGGAAATTATTTCTAAAAACCGTCAAAAAGTTTATATGAAATAAGAAAAGACTAAAAACCCCACCATTTTTTCAAGGCTTAAGAGCCAATGCAAGGCCAAATTTGGCACTTTTGTCGATCGCTTTCGTGTCGACTTCACCTGAGATGGTGAAGAGGGATTTGGGGCGCCACTCATGTTGGATGAGAGCGTTTGCCTTCCCGAGGTTGTTGATACGAGCCTTGACCGTGGTCAATGGGTCCAAAGCGTGCTGGGTCCCGACCGTGATTGTGTTCTCGTTGGTCGAGAAGATGTGGTTGACTTCCGCACCTACTGATGTGTTCGTCAACGGCTTCACAATGTGGTAGTATGATGCGTTCAGAGAGTCACCCTTGTCGTTCCTGTATTATATCATATAATGCAAAGAATTATGAATAGTCAGTCAGATGAATATATATATATATATATATATATATATATATATATATATTAACCATAAAAGCTAATTTTAAAAAATGGATAAAATGACCAAAACACCCTCTTAATTAACGGAATAGACAGTATGGAATTCGAGACGGACCAATGGTGTAAAATAATACCAAAAAGCACTTTTTCCATTAAAAACAGCAAAGCACAGGGACCAAACATGCAATTCACTCGAAGTTGTTAAAGGCTCAAGGCGCACTTGGTCGCAAAAGGGTCCCAAGGCCTAGGCATGAGGCGTGGGACTAAGGAACGCCAGGCACATCCTATCAATATTAAAGGGTCCCGAGGCCTAGGCGCAAGGCACGGGCCTAAGAAATGCGAGCAGCGTCTTATCAATATGCTTCGATAGAGGCAGAAGGGAGAAGGGTTTAAAGCATGAGCCATGAGAAGTTTTAAGGTCAAGGTACTTATATAGGGATTAGGGTTTGACTAGGTATTTGGTAACTCGTTGTGAGGCGTGCCTAGGCCCACAAGGTGCCTTGGCCAAGAGCAGCGTCTTATAGTGAGCCTCGTGAATGCGCCTAGTCTCGACTTTAAAAAAGCCAAGACCTTGAGCCTTATGAGGCTCAGAGTCTAGGCATGCTTGAAGCATGCTTTCAACAACTATGAATTCACTCTATCTAATAAAATAGTGGGATAGGTAAAATAACAAAAATACCCTTCATTTAACTCGATTTAACCGAAAAGAGAACCATAGTTGGATACAAAACAAGAGATTTGCAGAGGTTAGGGACAAATATGAAATAAACGAAGTTTAGAGACAATAGGTAAATTCTTATATCACTACCCATAAAATAACAAGTATTGCCAAAGGGTCATTTGCCCAACAGTACCCAAGTTACCGGTAGATCCCATCCTCACAAGAGGTGAAGGGTCCAACCATCACCAAACGTGAGGAGTATGAGTAAGTACTTGCCATATATAAATATTATATACTTAAAAAACAAGTATAAGATTTAAAGAATTTACTACTCACAAAGTGAGGGCGGCGATAAGGTCCGAATTGGCGAAGCTAATCCCGGCATTGTACTTAGTGAAGTTTCCGGTTTTGGTGTCAAAAGAAACATCGGTTCCGATAGCGGTAATGTTGGTTCCGACCACGCCAGAAAAGTTGACGATCGGGTTTGCAGTCAACCCAATACTTGTGCAGATTCCCGCATAGTCATGCAAGTATTGCAGTTCCAACTATTGGAATGATAGAAAATCAGGCATTTTTATGATCATTCTTAACATATCAAGACACTTGATATGTCCCGGAATAAATGTCCAAATTTTTATTTTAGTTTGTTCCAAAAAAAGTGTCCACTTTCAAAAGTAAGTGCTTACCTTCCAATCCTACCTCAATACTATTAAAGGTAAAATTGTCATTTAGTTTGTTACAAAGTGTAATATTTTTGAACATTTCTAAAACAGTATCATAGTGGACAATTATTTTGGGACAGAGGAAGGACAATATAATATGTGCATATTGCTTCGTTGCAAGTTCATCTAAAAATAGAAAGAACCAAGTCGCAAACCAAAGAACAGATTACATACCTTGCCAGACCTTTGGTCAGGAACTTTGAAGCTAAGGATTGCCTTCAGCCCAGGGGCAGGTTCGTCAACTACAATAGTTGTGGAGAGCTACAGTAATGTAGAAAACAATTTAGTTGCATTTTCACAAAAAAATAGTCACACAAGTAGGGGAGCTGTTTGGTTGGTTTTCCATTAAGTCGTATATGGATAAAGCTGTTTGTGTGGATTAATCTGTCTAGATTGGAAAGGTTTTTGCTTGGGAGAGCTTTTTCATAGATGGATGGAGCATGTTTTTTAATTGGGAGGGGTAAGCTTGAAAAAAACTTGGCTTTTTGCATAAAGCTCCCCCTAGAAGCTTACTGAATAAGTCACTTTCTATATCATTAAGACACTGCCAAACAATCATGTATAGCTGACTAAATGAGATAGAGTCTTGTTAAGCTTATTATTAAGTTGCTAACAAACAGGCCATGGTTCTAATTTGAACGTCCTTCTCACAAAGAAGGAAGGTCTTAACATGTTAAATCATACGATAAATATCACAAACCATGTTAGTAAAGCATTTCAACCAAAAAACAAAAAATAATAACAAATAAACAAGCACCACGAAATCAAATGTCAAAGCAAAATATAATTGATCAGTAGTAGAAGTTTAACCTACATTGGAGTTGGTGTCCACTTTGATATCAGTAGTAATGTTGTTTCTCTTCAATTGGGTATTGACATCTGCAAGAAATGATTCACCTTTCTTCGTTCCAGATGATGTGATTGCCTGCAAGTTGTGAAAACTGAAAATGTTAACATGATGCAAGAGATATTTGAGTTTATGCCAGTTGCAAGAATAAAATGCAACCGTGCAGCACTTAAACAAGTCTTCATCGCAAAACAACGTTACACACACAGCTATATACATACAATTTCTTTATATTCAAATATAACAATCAAAATTATTTGTGTCTAAATTACACCCACGGCATCATCTACTTGATTCACTCGAATAGAGTTCAAAACACAAACAGTTAATATGACATTCGACCAAACATGTGAACTAGAATACACTGATACATCCATAAACATCATAAGCTTAAAAAAGTAGGATCCATGCCAAGTGTCAATGTCAAAATGGCCAAATCTTCAATTTTTCTAAATCAATGGTATCATCAACCATAATCCTAATAAAGAAAGACCCTTAGAAGGAGAGAATATTAAATCATTCAAAGATACTAAAGGCATATATACCTGTAAATAAAGGTGGGGACTGACCATAACTTTCTACAAACATCTTTAACTTTACTTGTCAATAGGATCAGATGCTCCAACCCCAAAAGAACATATATAGATACACACACACACAAATATATATATATATATATATATATATATATATAAGTAAATGGATATATAAAAGAACTACACCGTATAACCATTTCTCGTGTCCATTTTGTGAGTTGAATACACCTCGTTTTTGGAAATGGGGCCCACAAAATGGAGAACAGAAATAAATTGCAATGGACAAGAACATGGGATTCATATGTTCAACGATTGCTACAAAAATTCCTGGAGCATATGCATATTGATAAACAATGCATATCAGGGCGTTGTGTTCTTAAAATGTGAAAAAACACAGCATAACACTTTCCAATTTTAGAGAAAATACCATCAAGTATATAATCAAACCGGATTGAGAGCATGTAAAGTCATATATCAACCATATAAAACTTGATAGACTCAAAAATAACAACCACAATCCCACACGGTAATTTGGTAATGTTCGTCTAACAATGTCGAAACATGAAGTCGTCAAACATATCTGCATAATACGAAAAAACGAAATGATAACTTACAACTCCAGTAGGTGAATAGGTCGTGATGGTGAACTTATGGTCCCCCTGGTAATCCCTGTAAAGAAGATCTTCATCACGAAAAAAATAGATTCAAATTAGCAAATGTAGATCTAAAAAGTACAACGAATACAGGCAGATATCGAACTCTCAAGCTCAAACACCCACACACACATACATATATATAATGGATGCACATATATATATATAGAGCGAGAGAGAGAGAATGAGGTGTACAGAGAGAGAAACAACCTCGGGCTTTTTTGCCGATGTCGGTGTAGAGACCAGGACCCTTAACCATGATTGCACCTTAAAAATGGAGATCGAAGACGAAGGGTTGAGGACGAAGACGAGTTGAGGAAGACGACGACCGAACACACGGTGGACGGTTTTATAGGGTATATGAATTGGGGGAAAAAGAAAAGCCCTAATTTCTAGTGGGTTTTCATCTGGTGTGTGATTCTTACCTGTTCTCAACATGATTGTAGACCGTCCGATTGGGAAGAGGAATTGTGGCCGTAGATTTGAGGCGTCTGTATGTAATTAATTTGTTTTTGTAGGGGCATTTTCGTCACATAACACTTGTAATTTCCTTGTAGAAAAAGACATGGATTTTATATTTGAGAAGACTCCATTTTATATTTAGGGGCTGTTTGTTTTTTAAAAAAAACTCTTAATACCTTTTGGAGTCTGAATCGGTCAGACCTTAGGGTATTAAGGGTGTTTGTTTTTTTTTTTTTTCCAATTAAGAACTTAAAATAAAAGCTCTGAATACGTCTGAATTATTTAGAGGTAAAATAAACGCTGAAAACCTCTTATTTTGGGAATCGCCTATTTGGTCTCTCTAACCTCTCCATCGCCACTTCTCTCAAGCTCTAGATTGAATCGCATTCAAGCTCTCGATTGCTCTCTGACCGTAACCTCTCCATC